GAATTCCTTAGCCATGGCAACTTGTGGACTTCAACTCCCAGAATTCCCCAGCCAGCATGTCTGGCTGGGGAATTCTGGAAATTGAAGTCCACAAGTCTTAAGGTTGCAAGGTTGGACACCCCTGGATTACAGCAAACCTAGAGGTGGCTGAGGGATTCTGGGAGTTGAAGTCCGCAAGTCTTAAATCTTCCAAGTTTGGAGACCCTGTTCTAAAATGTCCTCCCCTTCCCCCCCTCAGCAAAATCCTTCTAGAATGTTCTGGAAGTTGTCTTCGCAAACTGCCCAACGCCCCACTGCGTTAATCTGTCACCCTCAAACTTTCTCTGCTACCGATTTTTTCAGAGCTAACTGACGGCCAGGATATCGTGTAGCCGTTGTGCACCCCTCCAGAATGCAAGATCGGGTCGATTGGAGCCCGGGGTCAGAAGGAGCTCTGACACGAGAACTGGGAGTGAACCTTGAGACCATCTAGTCCACCCCCACCCACCCCCTTACTCAGTGCAATACAGGTAGTCCTCGACTTACAACCTCAAACTGAGCCCCCAAATTCTGTAGCTAAAGTGAGAACACGGTTAAGAGAGTTTTGCCCCATTTTACGACCTTGCTTGGGGCCAGGGCACAGGCTGGCAGTCATCAGCTGTCTTCAGAGTCGGAGATCAGTGAGGCAGAAGAACAGCTGGAGCCTGTTCCTAGCCTATGCATGCACAGAGCTGCCCAAAGAAAAGAACAATTACGAACTAAGGGTTGACGTGGGAGTAAGGCCACAGGTGGACGGTGAATGGCCCCTCCCATCAGGATTAAAAGAGGAGCGTAAGGGGAGGGGGCTTTTGCAGGAAACAATTCGTCCGCTGCAGCCGTGTGAAGATCTGTCTGTGCATCTCAAGAGACGCTTTGCTGAGTCCTTCCTTGTCAGCACTGCAGTTTGGAAATAGTTACTTGGCAGCTCTCCAGGCTAGATAAGGTCTGTGCTCCTAATCACACCCTGGAAAGACGGTTGGCCAGGCCTTTGGCGGACGGCGAATGCAAGAAATTCGCCTTCGTTTAAGAAAAGGGGTTTTGCCGGGACAAAGCGTCGGCTTCGTGCTTTTTGGGGTACGCCAAGGTCAGAACAGAAGGTCGCAAAAGGGAATCAAGGAACCCCCGGCCACTGCAACCATCCTAAGTCCATGCCAGTTGACAAGCCTCCGAATTTTGATCATGTGGCCACAAGGACGCCCCAACGGCCATAGGTGTGAAAAATGGCCATCCGTCTCCTTTTTCAGTGCTGTTGTAACTTTCAACGGCCGCTAAGTGAATGGCCGTAAGTCGAGGACTACCTGTAGTGACGACCCCCCCCCAAAGCACCCCTGGGGCTGGGCTGCCCCTTTTCTACTTGAGCCCATCCACCGCGGCCAAGCTTCGCCCGTACCTTGTGCCGGAGGGCAGAGGCCGCTCCCTCCGAATTCTGCAGCTGCTCGGCCAGCTGTTGGCACCGCTGGACCTGGGACGACAGCTGTTGCATCAGCGCCCGGTTCTGCGCCTCCGCATTGGCCAAAGCCTGCAGCGCCTGGGAGGAGGACTCCGCCTGCAGCCCTTTGTCCAGGTCCTGGGGCTGGGGTGGGGGGAAAGGTCAGCACAGGGCGTAAGGAGAGGGTCAAGGGGTCGCTCGGAGCCCCTCCCCTCCCCTGCCACCCACCCGCCCAGCGTGTCAGAATGGGGGTTTCCGCCTTCCCCATGGGTGGGTCCCTGCCATAGCGCGATCCTCCTCATCTCCCGTTCTTTAATCCTTCAGCCTCGAGGGAATTGTGGGTTGTGATTTGGCTTGGTTGTATTTTATGATTGTGATCATGGCTTTTCACTTGTCGCTTGTTTTGTCCACTGAGAGCTTATGCACCGGAGACAAATTCCTCAGGGGTCCACTTCTATCTGGCCAATAAAGAATTCTATTCTATTCTGTTTTATTCTACTCTATTCTGTTCTATTCTATTCTGTTCTGTTCTGTTCTTTATTCTAATTCTATTCCAATATTCCTATTCTATATTCCTGACACCTATTCTATTCTGCATTATATTTTTTCTATTCTTTATTCTATTCTTTATTCTATCCTATCCTATCCTATCCTATCCTATTCTATTTTATTCTATTGTTTCTTCTAATTCTGTTATATTCTTTATTCTATTCTATTTTATTCTCTATTATATTTTTATTCCTATTCTATTCTATTCTCTATTCTCTATTCTATTCTATTCTATTCTATTCTTTATCCTGTTCTATTTTTATTCTATTCTATTCTCTATTCTATTCTTACTCCTATTCTTTATTCTATTCTGCATTCTATTATATATTGTGTTTAATTTTATTTTTCTTTCAATGGTGTTGTCCAGTTTTACTTGTGGAAGAGCACCTCATTTCGTTGCACCCGCTTGCGAGTGTAATGACAAATAAATTCTTATGTCTTATGTCTTATATATATAGGATCCTATTATATATATAGGATCCTACGCATCCTACGCTGTATGCCAGTGAAGACTCAATTCTGCGAGGACTGTTGGAGGCTGAAGATCTGGCACCACCCAAGTTGGCAATGGCTCCACCCCCAGTCCTCCACCCCATGCCAATTTTTCCTGGGGGGTACTACAGCCTGCTGCAATGGGCCTGGTGTCCGGCAGTTACTCCAATTCAATCATGAGCCTTGAGCCACACTCCCAAAACTAAAGAGGATTTATTTGAAGGTAACATTCTATGTCCGGCACTAATCTGGGCGTAGCCAACTCTGAGATGTGTAATTCACTGTCACCCTTGATCCTGTTTTCCCCACAACCCCTCTGGGTGTATCATCCAACGAAAAAACATCCACAGCCAAGAGTCATCAATCATGCTCTCCAATTAAGATTTTTGCGCGGCGGAAGCTTCAGTCCTCTAATCAGTCTTTGAAGAAAATATGAATGGAATGTCCTTTCGATTCCACACTGCCGCTTTCTCTTTGAAATGCCCTCCCTTCTTTCTGTTGTCAACTATAAAACGTGTCTACAAAATGTTTTAGGAGTTGACACCCAGGACATCTCACACTGGCCAACTTATCACGGCCAACTCGCTGTGGGACAACTCATTGAGGGACAAGGGTTAGAGGTCTCCAAATTTGGCCACTTTAAGACTTGTGGATTTCAACTCCCGGAATTCTGGCTGGAGAAATTCGGGGAGTTGAAGTCCAGGAGTCTTAAAGTGGCCACGTTTGGGGGGCCCCCCCGAGTTAGATTAATATCGAAGAAATGGTGGAATAGAATCATTGAGGATGCAAAAGGAAGTGAAATTTGAATGACAGAAATTACAACACTTTTTAAAGTTATTTTTAAATACTTCCATTGAAGGGTTGAATTGTCCCAGCGAGTTGGCCACAGAACGTCGTCCCCCCACAAGTTGGCCAGGACGTATCGTCCCATTCTGTGCCGCAACCGGCCCCCTCCGGCGTATTTCCACGTGGAGATGGGGCCTGGCGTCTATGGCCACGAAGGGCCCCCCCACCCTCCACCCCGGCCACACTCACCTGGACCTCCGGAGGGGGGACCTTCTGGCTTTGCAGTGGGAGCCGGAGCCCACACAGCTGCTCGCTCAGCTGCCGCGCCTCTTCCTCCCTGCGCCACTGCAGCTGGTCCATGCGCCCCTCCAGGCGCATCAGCTCACCCACTTTCTGCTGCAGGCTGGCCTCCAGCTGCAAAACTTTGTGGTGGAGCGCCTCGTTTTCCTGCAAGGGACGACCAGGACATTATTTCTTTACTCGGCAGAGGGCGAAAATGTGAGGAAGCAGCAAGAATTGCGTGCGGAATTTGAGGAGTGGGAGCAGGGGGGGCGAGATACCGAGAGACAATGACCCATAATCCCCAAGGAGTTGCCAGTCTTTCTAACTCCGGGACCTATTTTCCTGGCTTAGCCAGCTCATTATTTTAAGAGCGGTCGTGGCCCAATGGTTAGAGTTGCAGGATTGCAGGCTGACTCTGCCCACTGCCAGCAGTTCGATCCTGGCTGGCTCAAGGTTGACTCAGCCATCTGTCCTTCCGAGGTTGATAAAATGAGGACCCAGATTGTTGGGGTGCAAGAGGCTGGCTCTATAAACTGCTTAGAGAGGGCTGGGAAGCCCTGTGGAGCAGTACGTAAGTCTAAGGATCCTTCCTTCCTTCCTTCCTTCCTTCCTTCCTTTCTTTCTTTCTTCCTTCCCTCCCTCTTTCCTTCCTTTCTTCCCTCCTTCCTTCCCTCCCTCCCTCCCTCCTTCCTTCCCTCCCTCCCTCCCTCCCTCCTTCCTTCCTTCCTTCCTTCCTTCCTTCCTTCCTTCCTTCCTTCCTTCCTTCCTTCCTTCTTTCCCTCCTTCCTTCTTTCCTTCCACTTAGAATGCAGTATTGCAGGCTAACTCTGCCCACCGCTAGGTCTTCAATTCTCACTGGCTCAATGCAAGAATGCAAAAAAACTCTGTAAACTGCTTAGAAAGGCTTGTAAAAGCACTGCGAAGCAGTATATAAGTGTAAGTGCTACTGCTATTGTTTTATCTGACAGCAGGACAGGGCAGGTCCATGACTCTTCACATGCTCAGAGACATGCGCTGTGGCAATGCCACCCTGTTAGCTCCCCGGGGCAAGACTGGGCATTTCTGCTCTCGTGGAAGGCACTTTTCCACAGAGATAACCCGAGTTTCCCCCAGCCCCGTTTGAGCCCACTGGGGAGGAGGAAAGCCACTCATAAGGGGGTTTGCCCCCCACCACAAGGCTGGATTTGGGGTGCTGGGCTGGCCCTTAGAAGGCAGGGGGCCGGGCGGGGGCTCACCGTGGCCATCAGAGCAGAGGGCTGGGCAGAGATGGCAGCCGCCTGTGCCAGGAGCCCCTGGGAAAGCTGCAGGCTGTGCTTGAGACCCTCGTTTTCCACGGTCAGGTTGTGGATCCGCTTCTCCGAGTCCGTCACACCCTGGGGGGGGCCAAAGAGGAGTTCAGTCAATCCGCCAGAAGAGAGCATGCCATGCCCTTGTTGGAGTCAGAGGAAGATCCAAGCCCGCCCACCCCACCTTCATCCTAGGGCACAGAGGGAGGAGGAACGGATAAGGGAGCAACATGGTTTACGAGAGAGGAAAGGGCCCTGATCCCCTTCAAGGGCTGCACCGGGGAAGACTGTTTAAAAGGGCAAACTGCGCATGGCAAAGTTGCTGGAAGCAATGCGCGCATTCTCTTTGTCGAGGCTTATCTGGGTTTTGATGTCCTCCCAACTGTGGGTGTGCTGCGTTATCGGTTGGAAGTCTGCAAATTATCATCCTGGCCTGCCTTGTTAATTACTTCAGCGTGGTTTGTGTTGTTGTTTTTTTTAAATTTCTAATTATCTTTACTTTGGGTTCGGAATGCATTTCTTCCCTTTGTAGACTGTTTTTTGGAAGAGTTTGACCTCCAGCCGAGGATAGCCGGACGTTGGGGGCCAAGTTGGAGGCATGAAAGGGAATTTATTCTACTTGGGCGACTTTGTTATTTTCGTGCCACACCCCTTTGGGTCGTCACAAACTGGAAGGGATCTATGGAGGTCTTCTAGTCCATCTCCCTGCTCAAGCAGGAGACCCTAAGACCATTTCAGACAACCTCTTCTTCAAAACCTCCAGGGATGGAACAGCCACCACTTCTGGTGGCAAGTAGTTCCACGGATCGATTCTTCTCACCATTAGGAAGCTTCTTCTTAATTCCAGACTGCTTCTCTCCCTCATCCTGAGTTCCCTTCCTCGGCCTGGTTTTTTTTTTGGAGGGGGAGGACGAGGAGAAACCCCACGACTCCTCCCCCATTACAGCACCTGCTGGGACCCTCCCCAGCCCTCCTGCCCCCCCGTCCCCCCCGTTTCCCCTTCCTCACCCTGCCCAGGCGGAGCTGCTCGCGTTCTTCCTCCTGCGCTTGGATCTGCTGCTTCAGGCCTTGGACCTGCCGGGAAAGGAGACCCCGGATAGTCACCCCTGTTCGAGGGAGCCCCCTCCTCCGTAGAGAGGACAACCCCAAGGGGCTCCACTCAAAGCTCTTCTCCCACAGACGAGACGATAGAAAATGGTTCAGTTTAGTGACCGTCGGAAGTTAGGGCGGCATTGAAAAAAGACACTTGTGACCAGAGGTGATCTTCCAAAATTTCAGCAAGGGGGGGTCTCGGCCCGGCTGTTGGGTGGGCGTGGCCATGGTGGGTGTGGCCTAGTCAGCCTCCTGCACCATGGCAGGGTTGAGAACCGCTTGCTGAAATTTTTCATCCTCCCCAGACTCCTGAGGCTTCCCTTGAGACTCCAATGGCTTCCCCAGACTCCCGAGGCTTCCCTTGAGACTCCAATGGCCTCCCCAG